CATACGTGCTATTGGCCCGGCGATTTTGCAAGACCAATAGCTGGTTTGTCATTTCTCGTTCTGGCAGACGTCTACTCGAAATGGCTTGAGGTCCGACTTGTAAAAAGCATGAAATCAGTGGCGGTAATTCAAGAGCTCTGTAGTATTTTTGCCACATTCGAGGTACCCTTTAAAGTCGTCTCCGATAATAGAACGGCCTTCGTCTCCAACGAAATCAAAATATTTCATCGCAAGAATGGCGTCCAGGCGGTCACTAGTGCACCGTATCACCCAGCCGCGAATGAGCCAGCCGAGCGCATGGTTTATGCGTTAAAACGCGCTCTCGCAAAGGGAGGACGAGACAGCCCCCGGAACGTGGTAGCCCGCTTTCTGTTCAAGCAGCACACGACCATCCACGCGGCGACTGGGGAAACTCCAGCCTGGATGCTTTTCGGAAGGAAGTATTCTCAAACTAGTACTACTTACTGTCTCAGGTCGCTGATGTTTGCGGGCCATTTTAGTGCGGATCATACGTTTTATTTTGGGACACCCGGTAGATAAAGATGGGCAGTTTTATTCAAACACTTTTTCCCTTTTCGCTACAATCATGTCGAAAAGGCAAAAACACCACACGGCTCATCAGGCATCTGAAGTCCCCGCTAATAGCCGTTGTGACCGACACGTCACCGATTCTTGCGATCCGCACCTCGTCCGCGGACGCGCAGACTGATGAAGTCGAGCGCCTTTTTCGTTCGCGGACATTTCAAAGCCAAGACATTTCATATGTCTTGGCTTGAAAAACGTAGTCAAGTTTGGCAAAATTGAAACTTTTCTGGTTTGCGCGGGAAAGATGGCTGGCGGACCGTACGCTCTTTTTTCTGTCGCTGGCTTTTCGTACGGCTCAAAATTAAGCGATGAAGCACGCATGTTTTTCTTTTCGCTTGTGGAGATTTCCCTGCACTTTGGCACATGACCGATGAGCGAGTACGCCCACAACACTTTGAAAGGCGCGTTGTGGCGACGAATTGCCGAAGAGATGGAGGACCGGCGACCGCTTCCCTGAATGGGGCCCGTGCGTTCCCGGTACGTATTATGACTATAATGCACTGCATTCCTTATTTCATCTGAGCATGCACGAAAACGTTTGGGCAGCACTCGGGCCACCCAGTAAACCTTTGCCGCGTTTCCTAGTACTGTTCATGCTTGCAGTGTTGCGGGTCACTCGTAGGGAAACCCGATCTTCTTCTTCGAGATGGCTCGGTTGCTTAAAATAGTGGCTCTCCAAAGAAATTCTGAAAGAAAGCACACCGTTCCCTCTGTTAGACTGCGAATAGAAAGCTATTCTTAGCAAGCCGACTGACGAAATCTTATTGCGGAGATGGCGCAGTGTGTCGCGTTTGTTGTATCCAGATTTCAAGTTTTGTTACGGTGGAGGATCGGTACTGCTGCATACATTGGTGTTCAATGGTATTGAACCCTGCATAGTTTGTTTACCCGAGAGGGCAGGAAAGAAATTGCTTACACAGCGATTGTGCTCTGCATTACCCGCAGCCCTTGAAGAGTAAAATATGTTTTGTGTTACAGATATGCTGAAGACATTCTTCAATAACAAAAGGAGGATCTATTGTATGAATGAAAAAAACTGGAGTCATCGAAAAGCGGCGAAGCTTCCAGCGTGTCGTACAAGGGCCAATGGAAGTTCTTCCATGGCCTGAACTTCCTAGATGCTGCCAAGCCGACAGGGACGAGGACCTTCAGCGAGGCTTTTGAGGTGGCAGAGCCGGAGACGGTAAATTTTGTAGCTGCCTTATGTATGGCATTCCGAGGTCATTGCGATGCACTGCTGTCTGTTGAGTAGGTTCTTGTTTTGAGTGACAGTACCCTTTTGCAGGTTAAGAAAAGCTAAACAAGCACCTCCCACTCTTTTTACTTTAGCGAGAGAAAGCTGGAGAGGAGGCCCGGAGCGACTCACCTCCTGTCCTGTGTTCACTCGTTGAAGTGGTAAGAGGTGTATGATCTTGTCCTGCTTTTTTAATTTGCACAAAAGACTTGTTACGGTTACACCACCATAGTGACAACTAAAACATGAATGCAAGATGTGCAGCATCGATCTAAGTAATTTTTTGCTTGCAAGTTTTGACAGCGGGAAGTTGGACTGTGCCAAGCGGTGTCAGATATCTCAGCTGTAAATAAGAAATTTAGCCATTGCAGTAAAAATGCCAGCTTTATTGCATTGTCTTCATATTTACAAGCCTTTATAAATTTGTTAGCAACTCTGTGCACACATAAGCACTTTACATACTGTCAGTGTGGAAAACAGTGACATGTTTATTCACGAAACGAGTACATAAACCTAGGGATGCAAGCAGGAACATCGAATACTTTGCTCAAGTAGATTGGGTACATGGAGGGCATTGCAACTGTCATGAGGTACCGTACCCTTATATGAATGAAGACAATATAGAGAACCTGCTTTAACACAAAAATGCAGTTAGTTCTTGAACATCTTATAGATTAAATATTTCTGATATCACTGGTGTTTTTTCTTTCGTTCTCTGAAGGACAAGGCAGGTCAACCTTCTTGAAGTCTATGAAGGCTGGCATAACTCGCTCTGTCTATAGATGAAATTAATTTGCATGCCGAGCTCCTCCTAAAGCTGGTTTTGCATGCCGCGTTCCTTTCGGCACATCCAGTCTTCCATCCAAAGTGATCTCTAGGGCGCACGCGATTCATCTTCACCACAAGATAACGCTGCGGCCATCGCGGCCAAACAACGTTTTCGATGCATCTTTATCTTGACGATTACTCTGGACAACAGTGCGCTCTTGGCCTTTCGCGAGCCTGTGGGGTCGAGAGCTCTCCTGGTTGTCGTCTGCTCGTCTCATCCGCCGTGTGAATGCCCTCGGGAGCTCGAGGGTCCGCGCATTTGTAGTCACGTGACCAATCCGTCCGTGGATCAGTCCGTCGTGTGAATCGGCTATAACACACGAGTCCCTTCGGAAGCGAAAGGCAGCGCGAGCAGAGTGGCTCGGGTGGTGAGCATGCGTACTCTTATCTTCGGCACGGCGAGACGTCCAAACCGCCAGGGGAGAAATTGTAGCAGTAGGCGCGTCGTCTAATGCGAATGAGCGGGGTAGGATGTATTCGTAACATGCCCGTCGTGCGACCACAGTGATAACGTGAATCGAACAAAATAAAAGAAAACTAATCTGTAGGAGGCCCAGATTGAAGCCTAGATTGAGGAGGGTTCATCTAAAACCAAGGGAGAGTTCGCAACTTAATGGTGGACATCTCCAGCGGAGATAGATCGGGAGTGCGCACGCGAGGAGGAGAGCAGGCGGAAAGGCGGCGACGTTTACAAACGATGAGCGCTTCTGGCACCTCCTCGCGGCCTGTACTGCAAACGCGGCCCATAAACCACGTGACCCTGATCCAGCAGTTGCATACTGTCTGTAATACAGGCTTTCTAGGGAGGAGATCAAAACGTTGCGCACCTAGTGGCTATTCTGAGAACTAAGCCCATGGGGATGACAACAACATGAATGGCGAAAATAATCCCTGGAGAAGGGGAATTGGGACAAAGGACAAACATAAGTCTCCAAACACAGCTAGGTGAAATTAATTGTTTGTCCTTTGTCCCTCTTGTTCCCCTTCTCCAGGGATTATTTTCGTCAGTCTTGTCCAGCTCGCTTGCACCTTTGCATTTAATTGCACTATAATCATAACATGAATGGACCTGCCAAAGCGCAGCCGCCAGAGAATTTCAATGATCATTCGTTCCACTGCACTCCAGCATGACTTATTTGTGTGCACCCTGACGAGCCGTTTGGCTAACGTTCGGATGGGCTCGTGCACGTTCAATCAATAAACCCCAATGAAATAAAAAAAAACAAAAATAGCCGATTGCTGGTGCAGCACTCTCATCCAGTTTGTGCCCCGCGCTCGATTCAGGAGGATGTCATAAAAAACCTAGTTTACAAAACTTTGGTGGTAAACTGGAGGCACGACACCGCCACTGGAATAGAAAACAGGCTGGACAAACCGTCCCTTATTCGCTTTTTCTCGCGTGAGTTACCCCCAACTACTTCCGGCTTTGAGCTAGACGGCGGGTTTTGCAGTATTTGTGAAAGCAAATATACACGCTGTCTTCTGTGAATGACCACATAGAGCACTGTCAAATTTAGTTCACTCTTATGATAAAAGAATGGCGAGTAAAAATTTTGGAAATATACGTGAACCAGAAGTGTTCCGGGGCTACAAAATAGATCGCGCCACTAAGTCTGCTGTCAAGCAAAAAAGGGGCGAATAGGTCAATTTCATCGCCAATATCATTGCACAGAAAAAATTACAATCGTCTATAGCAATAAAACTCCTAAAATTTAACGGCCTCTACAAGGAAACAGCTTTAAGGGGCTATATTTTATGTGTGTCATACAAAGAAATGAAAACAAACACACACACACACACACACACACACACACACACACACACACACACTGACTCATACGAACACGCACGCGCGCACACACACACGGACAGCCTCGCAGTCTATTATGGGTGGATCTGGGACGGTTCTGGAGCGTTTTGTTGTTAGTGTCTTCTTGGATGTGAAGGCGGGCGCTCGCATCTACCGCACTATAGGGTGCCTACATGTCTCTCTGTCTCAGGGCGAAGACATCCACTGTTGCCCTGAATGTGCCAGCGCGTGACACTCTCGCGCACTCGGTGCGGGACTTGGGCAGTAAAATGGAGTCTATGCATTAGCGAAAAGAAAGCTACGCGCTCGAGCTGAGTGACACCGGATTGCCCGCAATTCAGGATGCATAAAAAACGATTGGGCGGAAAAATGGCTGAGATGTCACCACTCGAGCAAAAGCGCGCGTGAGTATAAGGCACTCTACCGCACTAAAGCGCGAGCATGGAACGCTTTTAGATAGCTCCAAATCCACAATAGAGTTTTTACGCTTGATATCTGCGAAGAAGAAGACGTAAGGCACCAACAACACTGAAAACCTCGATCATGGCGGAAGGTAAGCCTCCTCAGAACGTTCCCCCTGTTATCTGGGACGTCATTGACGAGGCCCTTGAGCACGTTGTGCGTCTCTTGGCTGCCGTCTCCTGCTGCATGCTCTTCGTAGTCACCTCCATACAAATCAGTACGACCTTCTCCGATTCGGGCGGGCAGTACCTTCCGTACACGCCTTTTGCCGAGACAAACGTGACGACAGCGACTCGAGCCGTCAACTCCGTTGCCAACGCGCTCATCCTCATCGCCGTCATTGTTACTATGACGGTACTGATCGTGAGCCTGTACTACTTCCGTTTCTACAAGGTCATCAAGGGCTGGATCTTCCTCGCCTCCTGTCTGCTTCTTTACGGCTCGACGGCTGCTTTCGTTCACCAGATCTGCTTAATCTACAACGTTCCAATGGATTACATATCGGTCGCCCTCTTCATCTGGAACTTTGGAACGCTCGGTATGGTGGTGATCCAATCGAAAGGTCCGCTCGTCGTGCAGCAGGGCTACCTGGTCGTCGAGTCCGCCTTCATGGCACTCGTCTTCATCAAGTACGTGCCCGAGTGGACGCTGTGGGTGCTGCTGTGCGTCATCCCGATCTGGGACTTGATCGCCGTGCTCTGCGTGGTGGGGCCCCTCAAGATTCTCGTGGAGACCGCCAAGGAGAGGAACGAAGGGCTGCAGCCAGGGCTCATCTTCGCTACTGTGGTGGCTGGAGGCTTCGCTGGAATGGCATCTCGAAAAGGGTCCGGACCGCAACGAGGCTCCATCGACACCCCACGGGAGGAAGAACCGGAAGGTTCGCGAGACGAGCCCAGGAAGGAGGCGGTGGTGGCACCGATGCGACGGCCATCGGACAGACCTTTAGGACAACGGCAAGCCCAGCAGCTGCAAAAACCGGACGAACAGCGAAAGCAGCAGGATGACAGTCTTTCGGATAGCTTCTCCGACCCGGTGGAAGAAAAAAGCGGGGTCAAGATGGGGCTGGGTGACTTCGTCTTCTACAGCATCCTGGTGGGAAAGGTGGCTACGTATGGGGACTTGAACGTGGTGGCGGCCTGCTTCATCGCCGTATTGGTGGGAATATGCGTCACGCTGTTGCTGCTGTCCATGTTGCGGGTGGCACTTCCGGCCCTGCCTGTTTCTTTGGCACTGGGACTCCTCTTCGCGTTTCCTCAAGAACTCATTCACGAATTCATGCAGCCATTTTTGGAGCAACAAATTCACGTTTAAATTTGAACCCGATGCCACGATTTGGGGCGTGTTTGTCACGCGAGAAATATTGTATACGAATAAGTTGCTTTTAAATCTGGAATCTACATGGCGGCGTTCTCTGTGTATCACTAAAAGTAAAAAAAATAATAGAAAAAAATAATACGTTCTCACGCAGCACGTCTAGGTGTCAGCCTAGACGTGCTGGCACCTAGACGGGTTGCATTTCAATCCGACTTGACAAGATGTTAAAAAGCTATTTCGTATGTATCAAAACGGCAGAGAGTTGGGCGAGTTGGTTAAGCATCTTAATAGGTGGGAACAGCGCAGGAAAAACCGACGAAGGACGAGTAGAAGAAGTGCACAAACACAGCGCTGACTAACAACTGAATGTTTTAGTAGAAGAAGTGCACAAACACAGCGCTGACTAACAAAAATAAAATAAACATTCAGTTGTTAGTCAGCGCTGTGTTTGTGCACTTCTACTCGTCCTTCGTCGGTTTTTCCTGCGCTGTTCCCACCTATTAAGATTCGTATGTATGTGTGTTTTTTAGGCTCAACGATAAAAATACAACAGAAAAAAAAACGTAGAAGTAAAAAAAGAATTTACTGCTGTCAGCATGTGTTTAATCCGCGGTGGCAAACGCTGGAGGCTTTTCTAGAGAGCCGAAGTCAGGAGGAGCGCGACACTGGGGCACCCGTCTCCGGGACGCCAATCGCCCGCCGCCCTGGGTCGCTAAAGTCGTCGAGCACAACTTTGTGCCCGAAGTTTGCGGAACGCGCTAATTGGACTCTCGAAATGCTGACGTCGCGCCGAGCGAGGTGTCAATCATTAGAACGCTCATTTCCTTGAGAGCGGCAGAATGAATCGAGGCGCGCGTGCAGCGCGGGAGGGGCGCGAGGAGCCCGCTAATTGAACGGCCTCGCCGATGACGTAACGCCCGTTTGTCCCTAGATCCCTACGCCAATCTAAAATAAATGCTTTGCAGATTGTTCTTAAGCGACCTGCTGACGCTCCAAATCCCTCCAAAGTTTGTGTAAAAAAAAAAAAAAAAAAAAAAAAAAAGATTAGAAATCTTGTTTGTTGAAGTTGTCGCTGACGTCAAAGTGTCGTTTCCGAACTTTGCGAGAGCCGTGGTTTGAGCTCGAAATCTTCGCTTCGGATCGAGGCGAAGTTAAACGTTGTCAACATGGCGGTGCCGTAAGCTGCGGCCGAGCTTATCTTCCGCCACCGTCGGCGTCGCTACCGAGACCACCGCGACGCCTTTCAACTCCCCAACGACGACTTTCGGCGACAGTAACGGCTATCGAAAGCCGTTGTGCGTTGACCCTGCGACCACCTTCGTTCGGCGCCCGGACTTCGAGACGGCGGACAATCGCGTCTACCATGACCGTGGAACAACAAGTTGTCTGCGCGCTCTGGTTCTTCGGGACCGGTAGCTTTCAAGGCATGGTGGCGACTGACGAGAACCTGTCAGTCTCCCACATGACTGTGAGCCGAGCTGTAGAGTTTTTGCGGCTGCCATCGTTTTTTTCTGTAGTATCCGAAGAGGTCCTACTAAGCTGGCACGCAATTCAGAATGTTGGAAAAGAAACAAGAACCGGTGTAATTCTTGGGTAGGGTTGAGTCTCCCGGCAGCCGGCAGAATTATTTCCCCGAAATTCTACTGGCAGTCGTCACTCATTAACGGTCAAATCAGTTCATAGAACGACGTGTCATCGACAGATCGTTTCATCGGCACGCGATGTAATCACATGAAGGAGATTTTCTTCAGTTACAGGTATATACACATTAAACATTTTCACACCTCTGTACATGCAAGTGAGGTGTCCCATAACTACCACCCTAATAAGTGTAGCGATAGACGTACCTTATAAAAAAATGTAAACCTCACACCCTTAAAAATGTGTAATGTTTTAAACATGTTTCTTAAAACGTGTGATAATACGCTACAACTTTTTATAAAGATGTAAAACTACAATACTCCTTCTCGCAAAGGTTTAGTTACCACAGTACGCTTCTTTTTTGGGGTGTACACAGTGGCCCGGCACCCAATAAAATGACTGAACAAATAAGTTACATAAACGAGTCGCCGAATCAGCACGTCGCTACTTGGCCAATGTCGAGACAATTTCGGCCAAAAACCGCTCCAGTATTGGCCGGATGTACGGTTTTGCGCCTCGTCCCGACTTCCGGCAGGTATGGGCGTCCCGATGTAAAAAAAAAAACAAAAAAACGATTTATGTCTAACAGCACTGGCACCACTGATCTCTCAGTAGGCTGGATCGCGGATAGAGGCCTGTATTGCTGGGGTCAAGCGGCACCACCGGCAGTCATCGCTTGACACGAGTTAGTGCATGCTATAGGAGAAACGGGAAAACTCAATTTTTTTTTACGTTAGTAGGTTGTTCTCGACCATGAAACTTCTATCGCGTTTTCCGCAAATAACAGTTAATATTGTGGGCAAGAATATTAAACGCGTTAGAATACCAATATTTTTTTAAATAAATGTTGTGTTTGAGGGTCGAGGGCGACTTTGTTGGGCGTTAACCGTGATGTGTTCAATTAGACAAGGGTTACCGAGAGTTATTGTGAAGTCATACGTGATCTCGGAGTAATCAGAGCTCAGCAAACGAAAAGTTAGGAGGCCTTTACTGGGGACATTCCCGTCGTTTTAACCGCTTGTACATAGTACTTCTGTGAAAGCTTTTTCCTTGAACTGCTGTGAGGGCTTCCGTGACAAACTGAAACTCGGAGCGTGCCGTTCAGTCGCTTAACGTATCATTTATTTAGCAACCGAAGCAAGCCACGTCGGTAAAGTCGGTGATGCTCCAGCCAATTTTTTTTAATCGATGTGAAAACGCTTGACGAATGTCTATTTGATCTCCAAGCACCCTGTATAATGATCGCAAACGTCATAAAATACTCGCTCTCGAGCACCGCGTACAATCCTCTTAGTTTTGCGTGTTTCTCCCTTAGACTTGCGTGTATTGCCTATTGTCAAGCAATGGCCGCCGCTGATGCCAGTGACGGGATCCCGATCCGCGATCCAAACTTGCACTTTGCGAGTTCTAATGCATTGCACCCGCGGAGTGCTGCACGGAGAACCGGCCCGAACGAACTTGCCGAATGCACCGAGTGCAGACGGGATAATGGGACATTTCCTTGCTAAAGTTAGTGGGAAAATTTTCAGCTAAATTTAGTGGGGAAATTTTTGCGCTAAATTTAGCAGGAAACTTTTCCCACTAAATTTAGCAGAAAACGTTTTCCGTTACATTTAGCGGGGAAATCTGCCCGATAAATATAGCGTGAACATTTCCCGCTAAATTTAGCGGGTTATAAGTTTCCCCACTAGATTTAGCGGGGAAATTGACGTCACGTAACCTCAACACCAATTCTGTTTCCCCGCTCAATTTAGCGAGAAAGTTTTCACACTAAATTTAACGGGGAAATTTTCAATAAATTTCTCACTAAATTTAACAGGAAATTTTGCGAGAATTTCCGGCTAAATGGGAGGGGCATCAGAGGAGTAGGGGAGGATACGGAGGGGGGAGAAGGAACCATACCCTCCCCTCCTCTTCCCCAAGAGCTGCGCTCTAATTCGGCATTTCAGATTATTGTAAACATCTTTCATGTAAATTATCCGTTTTTAAATGTCGCGTGACGCGAGATAGTGTCTTCTCTCTTTTTTCTTTTAAATTATCTTTCGGCTGCCGTTCCTTGTCATTCTCGTTTCGAGCTCAGTTATACGAGACGTTCAAGGCCGATAGTTTGCAAGTACGGTGCGCGCTCGTGTAACGGTGCCATCTCCCCAGTCGTCGTGGAAATCCAAAAAAAAAAAAAAAAAAACGCAACATAGGGCTTCTGGGGTCCTATGTTGTGCTTTTTGGACTCTCATGGCGACTATAGAGAAGGAAATGACGTCAACAATGCAGCAAACGCAGATTGGATGTTGATTTTGTTTTCGTCTGTCAACATCCAAGCTGCGTTTGTTGTTTCGTTGACGCTACTTCCTTCTCCCTAGTCGTCGTGGAAATAAAAAAAAAACGGAACATAGGGCCCCTGGGGTCCTATTTTGCGCTTTTTGGACTCTCACAGCGAATATAGAGAAGGAAATGACGTCAACAATGGAGCAAACGCAGATTGGATGTTGATTTTGTTTTCGGCTGTCAACATCCAATCTGCGTTTGTTGTGTCATTGACGTTACTTCCTTCTCTCTAGTCGTTGTGGGAATAAAAAAAAAACGGAACATAGGGCCCCTGGGGTCCTATTTTGCGCTTTTTGGACTCTCACGGCGACTATAGAGAAGGAAATGACGTCAACAATGCAGCAAACGCAGATTGGATGTTGATTTTGTTTTCGTCTGTCAACATCCAAGCTGCGTTTGTTGTTTCGTTGGCGCTACTTCCTTCTCCCCAGTCGTCGTGGAAATAAAAAAAAAAACGGAACATAGGGCCCCTGGGGTCCTATTTTGCGCTTTTTGGACTCTCACGGGGACGATAGAGAAGGAAATGACGTCAACAATGCAGCAAACGCAGATTGGATGTTGATTTTGTTTTCGTCTGTCAACATCCAAGCTGCGTTTGTTGTTTCGTTGGCGCTACTTCCTTCTCCCCAGTCGTCGTGGAAATAAAAAAAAAACGGAACATAGGGCCCCTGGGGTCCTATTTTGCGCTTTTTGGACTCTCACGGCGACGATAGAGAAGGAAATGACGTCAACAATGCAGCAAACACAGATTGGATGTTGATTTTGTTTTCGTCTGTCAACATCCAATCTGCGTTTGTTGTGTCATTGACGTTACTTCCTTCTCCCTAGTCGTTGTGGAAATAAAAAAAAATGCAACATAGGGCCCCCGGGGTCCTATGTTGCGCTTTTTGGACTCTCACGGCGACGATAGAGAAGGAAATGACGTCAACAATGCAGCAAACACAGATTGGATGTTGATTTTGTTTTCGTCTGTCAACATCCAATCTGCGTTTGTTGTGTCATTGACGTTACTTCCTTCTCCCTAGTCGTTG